ATTTGTGGAATCATTTGCATTCATTAGTCATTAGTATCAATATCAGAGCGAAAATCTCTTTTTAATTGAAATATCTGGTTTAAATAAAGGTGAAATGAGTGTAAAAATATAACTCATCAACTCCCCCAAGCTTAAACCTGATCGTCCTCGAGCAACATAAAGAGAAATCTGAATCATAAGAAACTTACTTGTTTAAACCGATATAAATAGAAGGTTTTGGTTCACTTACGATCGGTACATCTATATACCCCTCCACTTCTTGACCTAAAAACTTAGCATAGATGTAGCGGTGGGATGGTTATAGTGCAAGTGTTAATAAAGTAAAGATAATCAACAAAAAGTTCTTGATCTAGTAGATAAAACAACTTTGCAACACTATATTCTATTTATTCTAGACAACACTTGCTTGTCGGGAATGCACGAAAGAGTTTTCTTTAGATAGAGCCAATAAAACATAGGTTAGGGAGTGAAAGCATGTAGTAAAATATGATGCTCTAATGCTCTTAAGCACACCCACAATCATTTCCTCCTCAAGGCTTTCAAGCACTTTATTTCAATCACTGTTTGCTGAAACTTTGATTGTCATGTGAAGGGATTATGCCAACTTTGTGATCATGCATAGGATTTCGCTGTGACCTTTGATATATGTCCCTTTTGAGCTCTTTTGATCAATCTCCTTTATTTACCACATACACATCATTTCAAGAGAAAACCGAATAATGTGCATTTGTAGTGTTGCCACTGTTGGAAATATGCCCTGGAGGCAATTTATAATTATGGAGTATATATTTTATGTTATAACTGCTATGATCCTGGAATATGTGATCAAACAAAACTCATATGGTGTGGAATGATAAATGGTTAAATAAAAGGTTCCTAGTCTTAACTCTAGGACTAGCTCAAGTGTTGTTGGTGATCACGTTTTCCAGATCTTAGGATATCATTAAATGTAAACGATAGTCCTAAAACAATATTGAGATTATGATGTTGGAAGAACGATCATATTGAACTGACCCAAACTTGTTTGTTGTGAATTGGGTTAATATCGTCAATATTCAATTGAAATAACACCGAGTGTTAACGTGTGATATTGCTCCTTAGACCATGAGAGTATCGTGGTCACTTCTTACCGTACGGTGGTCTTTGTGGTTGCTCAAACATCACCTGTAACACGGTGATTATAACGACAACTTACCGCTTCATTGGAAAGTTTTACAAGTGGCCGGTAGATCAAGAGTGAGATTTGCTCCTTCGGCGATGGAGAGATATTCTAAGGGCCCTCTCGGTGTGACGGCATCAATCAACGTGGGGCCAGACACAGGTGACTTGTCACGGGGATGCTGAAACACAATAATGAGAAAAAAGGACAAAACCGGTAACGAGGATTTTGATATAGTGAGCATGATGATGACAGAGGAAAATACTGATAAATCCCAGATTTTTGTAGTATCTTGAAGCAAGAAACATCACATGACAACGGTTCACTCGAATATCACTCAATGTATTTAGTATTTCAATTTTTTCCTGATTTTTGGTATTTCAGTATATAAAATATGTTATTTTGGCCAGCCTGAGGTTCGGGCATTTTTGGTCGGGCTTGCCAAGCCCAGCCCGAAGCCCTACCCTGTGGGTTTACACTTAGGCGTCTCCAAACGTCACACAAAATTAAAAGAAATGAAAAAACTATGTCATGTTTTTTTTCTTAACCTGGAGCACCATGCATTTCATTAGCTAGTGGACACAGCAAGATCAACCGGCCACAGCACCACGTACATTGGAGAGTAGCCACATGCGATCCATTAACTATGTCATGTTCTACGCATGGAGTAATTCTTTTTTGCATGGTAAAACGTGCATTTATATTATAAGGATCATAATACAAACCATGTACATACCGACCTAACAAAATTAAAAAAACAGCAGAACGCTAGGCTTTGCACACGCCGCTCCCTCCCCGGGGCGACACGGGCGGCTCCCGCCTCCGCCTCCGCACCTCTCCCCTCCCGCCTCCTTCTCCCCCTCGCCGTCGCCGGTTGCCTCCGGCAGGCAAAGCCTGCGCGGAGCCGGCGGCGGCGGGGCATCCTCTTGCTGCCGCTCGCTCGTGGGATGGGGATACGGCGTGTGGTCGGCGGCTGACCGGCGCTTGGCTCCGGGGCGGCGTCCCGGCTCGCGGTGGAGGAGGTCTCCGGCGCGCTGTGCCGGGATCTGGTCGCGGCGGCGAGCGCGCCACGGGTGAGCGGTCGCGGTCGTGGTGCCCGTACGGGCCCGATCTGGACCTCGCGAGATGTGGCCGGCGCGGTCGGTGGTGCTGGGATGGACGGAGGCTCGGACCCCTGCTGCGCGTCCTGGTGGAGCCCTTGCAGCGTTCCTCCTGCTTGGTGTCGTGGTGGTGCCTGCTCGAGTTTTGGTTAACGGGCTGCAGATCTGGCATCTCGTCCGGCGAGTTGGGGTGGGGTGGTGGCCCTCCCTCCCTGCTAGGGATCCTCTCTGGATGTGCAGCATGCGGCGGCCGCGCGGTGGAGGTCTCTGGTTGTCGGGGCGGCAGGCGGACGACGAAGTTGGCGCGGATCTGTTCGGAGGTTGCGAAGTGTGGTGGTGGTCAGATCCAGCCGAATTTGCCCTCGGTGGCTCGTTGGAGGGCTTGCTGATGCATGATGTTTGGGGCTCGTGAGGTTGACCCGGGTGAAAGCTTGTCTCCGGTGTGTCCGGAGCCGGTGATGGCGACGCTTTCAAGCGTCGTTTCCTTCTTGTTGGCATCGTCGAGGTACTCTCGGTTTCAATCTTCGCAGCTTTGGGGGAAACCCTAGATCCATGGGATCGGACGATGACGGTGCTCTAGCATCGTATCCCCTCTCGAGGGCTTCGTCTTTGGAGCTAGCATCATCAAGCGGGACCGATGGAAGTTGGTGGTGTTTTGCGTCGAGGCTTCTGTGGCAAGGATGATGGGCGTGTGCAATGTCGGAGGCGCGGCAATGGCTGCGGTAGTCGGCTCTTCTCCGGCGTGTTTGTGGGATTACCTCGGGTTGTTTTGTTGCCGTGAAGTCGGAGCTGCAGCGGCGGGGCCCCTGTGGCGACGATGAGAGGCAGCAGGTGGTCTGTTCGGTGGTCTTCTGCGGCGCCAGCCTTGCATAGTTCTCCTTCGAAGCTATCTTTCAGAGTTGGAGCTGTGATGTCCTTGTGCGGATGGCTGAGTTTGGCGCGGGGTTTCTTGTGTTCCACACAGCCTCTACAGTGTGGGTTGGGCGACATTTGTCTTTGGAGAAGTCGGAGTCGCTTTCTCGAAGATTAGGGAGGGCGATGACGCCTGTTGGGGAGAAGTGATGACGATGACACCAGTGGGTGATGTTGACGAAACCCTCTATATGAGGTGTATGTGGTATTATGTGTGTGCCGCTCAGCGGTTTGTTACGGTTTTCGTCCGGTTTTCTGTTTATTAACCGGACAACTCTCTTCTGCTTTATTAATGAGATGAGGGAAAGCTTTTGCCTCCGTTTCAAAAAAAAAAGTAAAATTACAAACAAGACCGAAGAATCTTCTGAGCTTAACACCAACGCAATAGCAGCCACCAAAGGAAAAATGACGGATCACCTCCACACCCCGAGCTCGACGCGGCTCCATCACTGATATGTAGCTTTGCAGACCTCCAAGGTGGCTCGCTAGGCGAAGCCATTACCGTTGAATGAATCAGATCGAGGCAACAATCCGGACACGCCGTCGAACTCCGGATCTGGCACCACCACCCAACTAAGCGTTGGAGGAGGAAATCATACCTACCTGCCATGAAAGATCCACCATCTCATCTTCTAGATGCCGCCGATGCATACCATAATCTGCATCTGCTCCTGGACTATCTCCCGAGCTTCACGCCGGCGCTGGAGCAAACGCCGTCGCAACGGCGGAGTCCGGGGACACAGATCCATCACGAGTATGCCGCCGCCGCGGCACCATCACGCAAGGAGTAATTTAGACGCTCCACATAAGACGACACGATAGTAGTAGCTTAGTTTTTTTTATGACATCAAGACGACACGGTAGCTAGTCATGTATCGGGAACGTTCATGTTCCAGTACCATCCACCTACGGTGCACACTTTAAATAAAAGTAAGTATTTCTGCCACATACATATACAACAAATAATGGTACGTACCCGGTCAGCTCTCTTGTTCCGTCCCTTGTCTAGGACTGGACACGGCACCAAAAACGTCCCGCTCGTGCGAGTCCCGACCACGCCTGACGTCGCCGACGCCGGGATCGGCGAGCGCGCGCCCGCACGTGGCTCTCCCGGCGCCATCTGGTGGCGACCGTCCCTAGCCCTAGGAAAAAGGAGCATTTTGGTTATTAGAAAGAGAAAAACAGTTGAAAGCAGCGGGAATCAAGGGGATCCATCCAGCCAGCCCGTCCAATCTCGAGCCCCCGTGCAATCAGGGGTGCCGCTTTCGGCTGACGGTGGGACGCCGCTTTAGATCAGAGGCCACCGGACGGCGACGGAAAGAAAGCACGGGCGGAGCCCCAAGGCGGCGGCCGGCGTGGCGCGACGTGGCCGAACCAGGCGCTCTGGCGTCGCGTCATCCCGTGAACGAAACGAACCAGCCGCTCCGGAACTCCTTTCCGCACCACCCTCCCCTTTTATTTACCACAGCGCCGCTCTAGATTCGCCGCACCTGTCGCCGTCCGGAAGCCCCGCAGCCCAGACGCGCGATCGCCTACCCCGGCGAGACCTCAACGGGAGGAAGCCATTTGACTTGCCGCCCCATACTATATCTATATTACGCCCCCGCCAGGGGACAGACGCAGAGGTTCAGAGGCAAAGACAAAGCAGAGCCGTGTCGCCGACGAGGACGGACGGACGGACGGAGCAGACGGCGCAAAGATCTTTCTCTTCCCCCTTCTTTCCGGCCAAAGCGGCAGGGTTGGGCCCTCGATCGTCCGTCTTCGCCTCAGGTCAGTCGGATTGCTTGCTGTTTTCGTGCTGGTGCGTTTGCGTGTTGCGCCGGACCTTGATGGATGGTCTGTTTCTGTTACAGTCAACGGCTGTAGAGCGCAGAATCCCTTCTCTCGCCGGCGCGGCGTGCTCGGTCGATCGGCTTAGCTTCCGCCTCGCGCCGGTACCCTCGCCGGACAAGCAGCGGATGGGCTGCGTGTCGTCGTCGCCGAGGCGGTCCAGGCGCGCGCCGGGGTACGAGGAGCCCGCCGTCCTCGCCTCCCAGACCTCCTGTACGTCAGCCCATACTCCTCCTTGGTTTCATTTTCCTCTGCACCTTGACTGAATGGAAGCTCATGTTGCATTGCGTGCGCGTGGTTGCAGTCACGGTGAACGAGGTGGAGGCGCTGTACGAGCTCTACAAGAAGCTCAGCTACTCCATCTTCAAGGACGGCCTCATCCACAAGGTAAGCTCTGCTCCACCCCACGACCGCCATGGATGGATCCATCTTCAAAGGCCGCGTCCACTCAGCTCATCTCATCTCATCTGCTTGGTTGGTTCATCTCACTCTCAGGAGGAGTTCCAGCTCGCCCTCTTCAGGACCAGCAAAGGGCCGAGCCTGTTCGCGGACAGGGTGTTCGACCTCTTCGATCTCAAGCGCAACGGCGTCATCGAGTTCGGCGAGTTCGTGCGCTCGCTCAGCATCTTCCACCCCAAAGCGCCTGAATCGGACAAGACCGCGTGTATGCCCCTACGCCTCTTGTCTGCTCGTCTTTTCTGTCCATTCATCGTCTTTGCTCAGCAAAAATCGCCATCTCTGGTTTGTCACCATACTTATTTGTAGTTGCCATCTCTCTCATTCGTCACTATCCTACTTATTTTGTAGTTGCATTCAAGTTGTATGATTTGAGGGGGACAGGCTACATCGAGAAAGAAGAGGTACTGCTAAATAAGTTTGTTGGCATTGTTTGTTTTGCACCTTATTTGCACTGTCCATGGGCTATCCTGAATTTCGGTGAACTGATTGCCTCAACACGTACAGCTCCGGGAGATGGTGGTAGCACTGCTCGACGAGTCCGACCTGTGCATCTCCGATAGCGCAGTCGAGGAGATCGTTGACAATGTATGTGACCAACAAGATAGATAATTAGATACTTCTCTCTAAGTATTTGTTAAAATATGTTGCCTAGTCATTTTCACTAGTTCCAACTTTTAAGAAACTTGGCATCAGTTTAATATGATATCAAAGCCACAAGGTCTTGGGATCAAATCCTGGCCAACGTACTATTTAATATAAAAATAGTTGAGTATTTGTTAAAATATATTGCATGGTGATTTTCATTAGTTCAGACTTTTGAGAAACTTGGCTAGCGCATCAGTTCAATAGTATTTATTCACTCTTGCTTTGGAAACTGTTTTCTGATCTCTTCTAACATGTTCTGTGCTGCTCTGCTCCTTTTGTTTCTGTCAGACGTTCAGTCAAGCAGACTCGAATGGCGATGACAGGATAGACCCCAAGGAGTGGGAGGAGTTCGTCAAGAAGAACCCAGCATCGCTGAGGAACATGTCACTGCCCTATCTCCAGTGAGTACTCATCTGCCGCTCTACTCTTCAGCTTCTCAGGCTCTCCAAGTTCCTTTGCGCTTCTCCTTTATGGGCTGGATGGCCTGTAATACACTTGGCGCTCTTGTTCTGAAAGACAAACGCCATATGTGAACTGGAGAGCAGTAGAGATGTTCATTTGTTTTTGCCATTTACCAAATTTTCAGGTCATCTGACTGCTGTTGTGGTTGATGTTGTTTGCTCAGGGACATTACAACGGCGTTTCCGAGCTTTGTGATGCATTCGGAAGCCGACGATTACAGCGGAATCAGCAAATAATAACCGGGCCTTAGTGCCTCATGATCCGCTCCGGCTATCTATGAACATGCTGCTGGGAGGCTGGCTGCGCGTTCAATTCAGAGGCGCGTGAGCTGCAACCGGAAAGCCCGGAGCTCGAATGGGGGGAGAACGCAAGGGAGCCGATCCGGTAGCCGGTGAGCGTGAGATGATGTCCACCGGACGATGACTTCATGTCCATGTGAGATGGGCGTCAGACTATGTATCTGAGGTTAACTAAGAAATTGGCTTTTTTTGCGCCTACGTAAGTACGCAGAGGTTGTCAAAACACCGATCGAGCAGGTGACTAGGCAGTGACTAGTGGCTAGCTTAGATTGTAAAATCGCTAATTAGACTTTGTAAAACTTGTCTTGAGTTGACTTGTAAACCTTGTCCGTTTCGTCGAAGAGTACCATTTCTCCTTTGTTGGCTGTGAACATATGGATAGGAACACAGATGGACACAGAGAAAGCAACTCATTGCCTGTTTGCAAACGATGTCAGCATTATTTTCGGCAATATATGCTAATCCTCTGTGCTCCCGTCGACACCGTAACCTAGCCGACAAATTTAAGAAGAAGCGGAGTCAAAGCCAACGCCAACAAGCAAATGGACACCTTTTTCTACTGTCTATTGTACATAGAAAAAGGGGAACTTGATTTTGTGCTCGAGCTCTTGCCTCTTTACCAGCTGCTCTGAAAGTGACATTGGTGGTGCGCAGCAGCAGACTAGCTGGACTTGTGCAGCAAATTTTGACGACAGGATGCCCCCGCATGTTTCCCCCGTTTTCAGGAAGGTGGTGCCATGTTTCATTCACTTTAAGAAAGCTGTCTAGTTAGTATCACTCCACCTTTTTTACTCCCGTGCACTGGAAATTTCCATCGGGTGCTGGTTGGTTGGTTCAGCTCCCGACCCCCTCAGCGCTCCTCAGCGCTGCCAGGGGGATTAGATCCCAGCGCCACCAGCCCCCACCCCACAACGAAAGATCCTGCCGCCGCTGGCGTTGCCCGCGGTAGCGGCCGCGCTCGGTGCCAAGGTGCTGCTGAGGCAGGAGGAGGAGGCGGCAATCACTCGATGCGGTTGGGGCACCTTAGGCTGGGGGCTTCGCACTGCGGCCAGGGCGACTCCCTGGCCGTGCGGCGGCAATTGACGACCCCGTGGATGGTTGTGTTGGCGATGGTCGGCATGACGGCGGCCGTGGATCTGGATCCCACCTAGATCTGTTGTCGATTCTTCACGTGCATTGTTGGCGGCGCGATGAGGGCTCCGGTGAGGGGATGGAGGATCTCCGCCGAGTACCGGCGGCGGCATACGTTTTCATGGCGAAGCTCCATGCTCCAGCCAGCCGCGAGATCGGGACAACACGGCTTCCGGTGAAAACTGTGCCTGACTGCAGTCTTGGCGGACGGTGGCGGCGTCCCTGACATTGTTTCCTTCTCGAGGCATAGCTGTTGCAGGTCACATCAACTCGATCAGGATGTTTCGGTGGAAATCCTAGATCTGGATCTCCCGGATCAAACGATGACGGTTCCTTTGGTTCGTTCTTCCTCCTTGGGACATCATTTCGTAGCAAGTGATGGCTGGAGGGGACAAGAGGAGGAGCGGTTTTACATCTACTGCAAGGCCGACGACGGATCCCGGCGGCATGGCGCTGCGGAGTTTTGTCCAAGGGCCCGTATGGATGGATACGTGCAGGATGATGGAGTTGTCTAGCGCCGTGGTGGCGTCGACGACAGGCTTGGCAAGGTCGGTGCGTCAGTACCTTCTCTGGAGATGGATCGGTGGAATACAGCGTGACAACCTCTGAGAATGATGGCTTGGTTGGGGCATCCGGTTTTAGATGTTAGGCTTTCGTGCGATGTATATTTGGTATTCGACTCGGACATTCGGCACCCCTTCCTCGAGGAGATAGGAGTAGCGACAGGTGTTATCAGGATGATGGCTTTAGGCTTACTGGCGTATTACTTTATAAGGTCTTTATAAATAATTAATAAAATGACTATATGCATCGCCCAGATGCAGAGGCCAAAGGTATATCCTCATTTTCTAAATTTTCTTTTGCAAACACCTTCTGCCGACATCCAATTTGGATGGACAAAACAAATCGAAAATCTACGAGTCAATGAATATTTACAAACTTCTCATCGTAGTTAAACTTTACAATACTAATTGATAATTCTCATTTTTATCCCTTGTAAAGAAACATGTGAAAAAAATAGAATGCAGATCGCAGGTAAAAAAGGGGCCTGATAATTTTGATCCCTCACAGAGCGACCGAGCTGTGCCCTAAATCTGCAGCGAGATGGGGAGGTTACCCAAAACTAAAGCATGTCGTGCTCTCGCTAACCGCTTCGGTCCCTCGTCCACGAAAAAGCGATCAGGGAGGCGACCAACTCCTCTCGTCCTCTGCCAGCGAGGCCATGGGTTCTCTTGCCCTCCGATCACCGCTCCGGCGACGGATGGGTGTAGGAACCCCGGCTCTCTGCCTCAGCTGTAGTTAGGGTTAGGTTTAGTGTGTCCCAAGGTGGCGTTTGGATGGTGGTGACGCCAGCATCTGAAATAAAATTTCCCCAATCTCAACCCCATCTCGATGACATCCTCGGTGGTGAAATCGAGGGATCTGTGGGAACCATATCCTATCATTTTCTTGGTGCGATGGATCTGATGGTGTTTATTGTGTCTATGGCAGATCTCATCTCTTGTGGTGTCACCTTTGTTTGGGGGAAGATAAAGGTCCAAGAACAAGGTTGGAGGCTAGTGGGTGCCTGTTCTGGTGTTCTACCTCGGCAAAATCAACGGTGTGCAACGGATCTGGGTTTCGAGAAGAACGGGGTGATCCACTTTCGACTCGCCACAACGATAATGGCCAGTGGCAGGCCTCTTCTTCGGTTCACAAAGTCCTCATGGGCGATGGGGCTTCTTCGTCTCCGAAGACGGCAAGTGGTGAAGATGACGGTTGCAGAAATCTTCTTTAATGAAGTTTTCTTGCCTATGTTCTTGGGTATGCGTCTTTTCTCTTTCTTTCTCGTGATTTTGATGATTTCATGTTGTAATTTGATATTTGTTCAATGGTATGTGAAATCTCTCAAAGAAAAGTCTGTAGCGAGACCAAACCCCTATTTGGCGCCTTCCGCTTTTTACAGGGGAGCCTATGTCTCGCTTCAAGCGAGATTGACTGACGACTCACCTACAACATTAGTCTTAACTGGGCCGGGATCAGGTTGCGAGAAAGGGGTAGCGAACGAAAACGAGTCAAGGCGTGTGGCGTATGTGCAGTGATAAAAAAAGGTGTGATGCATGTGCAAGGGATTATTAGTTGGCGTGTGACGTACCTGCGAGCCAGATTTCGTAATATTTCGTTGCGACTTACTCCCACCGTTTTAAAATAAATGACCAAATTTTATACTAACTTTATGTGAAATCTCTCAATGTTTCAATGCAAAAATGTACAATATGTATAAACTACCTCCGTAATGGGTAGTAACATATGTGTGGTGTCATGCAAAACTTTCTGTATTAGGTTATGGACTTATATTCTCTTGAGATATGTGATGTTACGGTAACTAGCTAAGTTAAGCAATCAACCTACACATGTAATTTTAAGAGTGTAGCAGTAGAAAGTAAAACATTGCATATGAAGGTAAAGGGAAGGGTTTGAAGAAGGCAAACGAATGTAGACACGGAGATTTTTGGCATGGTTCCGATAGGTGATGGTGTTGTACATCCACGTTGATGGAGACTTCAACCTACGAAGGAAAACGGTTGCGCGAGTCTACAGAGGGCTCCGCCAACGAAGGGTCCACAAAGAAGTAACCTTGCCTATCCCATCATGGCCATCGCACACGAAGGACTTGCCTCACACGGTTAGATCTTCATGAAGTAGGCGATCTCCTTACCCTTACAAACTTCTTTGTTCAACTCCACATCTTGTCAGAGGGTCCCAAGCGACACCTAGTCAATCTAGGAGACACCACTCTCCAAAAGGTAATAGATGGTGTGTTGATGATGAACTCCTTGCTCTTGTGCTTCAAATGATAGTCTCCCTAACACTCTCAACTCTCTCTCTCTCTCTCTCTCTCACACACACACACATTTGGCTATGGTGGAAAGAAGATTTGAGTGGAAAGCAACTTGAGGAAGGCTAGAGATCAAGATTCTTGTGGTAGGATTGGTATATCTTGGTCTCAACACCTCTCAGGAAATAAGTAGTGGAAGTGTAGACACGTTCTGATGGCTCTCTCACAAATGGAGATGGAGGGGTATATATAGCCTCCACACAGAATCCAACCATTACACATATTTGACCCAACTCGGTCAGACCGAATAAAGGAACTCGGTGAGACCGATTTAGTTCAAGATGTGAACGTTAGGAATCTCGGTGGGACCGACAGGAACAATTCGATGTGAACGATGTGCTAGGGCTAGGGCAAACATTATCTCGTCGTGACCGATTATATCAACTCGGTGGGACCAAAGTGGACAACAGAGCGAATGACAAGCAAACTCGGTGTGAACAATTGCACTGACTCGGTGAGACCGAAAGAGTGCAACATGTCACAGGGAGAATGCAAGACCATCTCGATGAGACCGAGATCCCTATCGGTGTGACCGAACTGTTAGGGTTTCTGGAAATGGCTATGTCAAAGGAACTCAGTGGCGCCGGATGGATCATTTCGGTGGGGCCGAGTTTGACTTGAAGTTTTGGACATATGTGAAAATGAGAAAGTGGCTCAAGGTTTTGGAGAAATATTGTAGGATCGGAAGTATGTCTAGAGGGGGGGGGGTGATTAGACTACTTGACCAAATAAAAACTTAATATTTTCCCAATTTTAGTCTTTGGTAGATTTTAGCAAACTTAGCACAAGTCAAGCAATCTTTAACACAATTCAAGCAAGCATGCAAAGAGTATATGAGCAGCGGAAAATAAAGCATGCAACTTGCAAGAATGTAAAGGGAAGGGTTTGGAGAATTCAAACGCAATTTGGAGACACGGTGATTTTTGAG